GAGGAGATGAGATGAGAAGAGAAGAAAGGTTGGGTTTAGGCTGGCGTTGATAGGTCGTTTAGATGCTCGATCGCTCTGAGCGGGCAGCTACAAGTTAAGGGAGAGTGGCTGATAGCTGTAGATATACACCTCTTGCTGGGTCTCTGGCAGCGGCAGCGGCAGCGGTGCTGATACGAAAGCCCATTCACTCAATGGTCTGGGGCAGGCAGATCGCCACTCATCCAGGAGTACAATCACATATATATGTACGTCGCTTTGTTCCCGCCTACATATTTGGATAGGGTTGCCTCATATGGGCCAAACTGCATCATTTCTCTCATTGAAAACGAAGCAGGTCATGATCCTCATGGTATTGGTAACGCTATACACTGTGGCTGACCAACCTCTACTGGCCCACCTCGATATCAGTATATGAACAAGAAGGGTAAGAGAGAATCTGGGCAAGAGTTCGCCATGCTCCGGCCGAACTGGCCCTCCATGCAGCACCACAAACACCATCCGCCCTATGCCTTAAACAGGCCAATGCAGTGCAATGCCGAATTGGAAAGCGCAGATAAAAACTCCTTTCACCAAGCCAATTATAGACACCATTCTGGGAGACTCCCTTTCAGCCAATGGCAGCACAGTTATGCACGGCACAGGAGCCCACTTCGTAGGGCTGGCTTGCAGCGTGGCTGCTGTATATTGCTGCAGTTTGCGGCTCCCTTCGGCTGTCCTTCGCACACATTTGCCAGAGCTGTGACATGTGTCGGCAATGAACAAAAGTTGTAGCGCTGCTTCGTCAGGATAAGCTGGTCTTCTTCAATATGTCTACCATCCCGTTCCTGTCCTCATACTTGCAGCGCCTGGGCCATATGTACCGGAAAAGAGTTGTTGTCGAATGGATGACTGAGGTTCCGGATGATCCGTGCCAGGTCCCCGTCCAGCAGCCATCCATGCCAGGCTCTGCCTCAGTTCGTTGACTGCCTCCGCCAACCTGCCTCCCGCCAGCTCGTTATGCCGTCTCAGCTTGTCATCCCAACCACCATATTGTAATTGAATACCACCACCTCTCTTCGATGCCTCGCGAATGACGCAACCCCAGGCCCGTGCTATCTCTTCATATGCATTCTCCTTGACCAGGTTGTGAGATGCAGAATCCCATTGAGGCAACTCATGAATGATGCTCATCACTCCGTCGAGATAGGTCAAACTGGTTGAGGATTGCGGTTCGACCGGAGGCAAGAACTGCGGTGTGAAATCGCTAAGAGCGTCAAGGAGGGTGTTAAGGTGTTGTCGTACCCGGTTGTAACTATAGTCCGAACCAGGATTATCACCTATAGGAAAGGCTGCGTTCATTGTGTGTTGATACTCTCGGAGAACCTGGAGAGTGGAGCTGACGCTGGGTCGTGGAGCGAGGTGTCTGATTTCTTCTTGTATGGCTGAACCGTGTTTGTCACATAAAGCTTGGATAACAGATCGAAGGGATTTGGCATCAAGGGTTTCGAGTAAGCGGGGGATCAAAAGGGGTTTGCCAGTCAGATTTGGTCGGGCTCTTTTGATCGATCGAGGTGTGGTATTTGTAGGTAGCCGGGCGTTCGGCATGGCAGGTGAGGTAGACATGGGGTCACCTTCGGGGGATGGTGATAGAGAGGCTTTTCTCTTGCGTGAGGAAGAGGGAGTAGCCACTGAAAAAAAGTCAGCTTGAGCAGTTTGTCTGATATGATGCCACAGGCAATAGACGAGATTCCAGAGCAGGCCAGCGGGCTGCACTTTGAACACTCACTTGTTCTGTTGGGTGAGAAACGACTGTCCTGGAAACGATGAGGAGGGACAGGTGGTGCGGCAGCAAGCAAACTGTTCATGATGGCAAGGTAGATCGAATTCAAGATGCCAGTATGGGAGGTGTGAGGATGGAATTATTAGGCTTAGGTGAAGAAAGGTTGAAGAGAGCGTGCCTCCAGCAACCGACCAAACACGGTGAATGTAGGTGTCGTGGTATGTTATTGCAAGAGTTGTGCAGTTGTGCAGTTGTTGGGTAGAGTATGGAATAGAAGTGGGTGTGATGGGTGGAAGTGGGGAGGTGCTTCTATGGAGAGTGCTTGCGGCGAATGAGCGGGCGAAGTCACTCCTACTGCTACATACTGTACTAAGTTAGTACTAACTAACTAACTAGATGCCTTTGTTGCTCGTGTTCCCTCGATCCCTTCGACCCACCATCCCAGCGCCACATGTATCAAATAAACAATTCCCGAAACATGTTTACAGGCTAACAAGCAATTTATGAACAAACCTTTGGACCAAACTCGAAACAGGAGCATTGTTAGCATCAAACTGCAGACCGTATGCCCATTCCGTGTCTACAGGAAGCGTAATCCAATTATTTCAATGTCCATGATTAATAGCGGGCTATTACTCCGTATGACTGGATTACATGCAGCATGCTTATCGCCTGCATAACGAACAAGCATGATATTCATGGTATCATCATAGACACCCCATGCATATGCCAGGCTAGAGTAGCGCTCCAGACACCGATGCTATGGCATCCTGACCCGGATGCAGTGATTCTACAGATAGAGAGACTGGGCAGCGACGATATCCCTCCTGACCTTAGTCAAGGATTCCTCGAACTTCTTCTCCAGCTCTTCACTCCCCATGACTTTGGCAGCCTGAGCCATTTGCCGCAATGCCTCTTCTAATCGGCGGAAGACGCGAATCAAACTCCCTTCGTACACATCCGTCATTTTGCTGACATGATTGCTTAGCACTTCAATGACCCTGGTAGGTGTTGAGGGACTTACCATATCTCTGCGAATGACTTGCCCTTGGCCCAGTCGAAGATGACGTTCATCAGTTGCGGTTTGAAGCTCTGAACGTACTCATCCTCGTTCAGGGGCAATTTCGATTCTTGTGATACCTTGGCGATGATTCGTGCTTGCCGCTGAATTTCTCGTAGAGGCTTTGCCAACTCCTCTCGCAGATGGCCATCATCGTTGGCTTTTTCTTCGAAAACGAAGCAGCTCAACACAGACGCGCATTGCTCTGGTGTCAGCTCGTTGAAGAAGCCATTAAAGAGTAGCTCACTGAGCATCAACTCGTCTCCAGTACTGATCTCACAGGCCACTCGTGCCTTCAGCTGAACGACTTCGTCTTCGTTGATGAACTGCAATCTCCGAAGAACCCGCTTTCTGCATTTCAATTCATCAAGCTGTAGAATCGACAATGCTTGCTGGATCTGTTTCTTCAGCGCTTTGATCTTGTCCGTTTTGATCATCTTCTCCGCGTACTGGTTGTACAGTGGCTCCAATCTAGGTGAGTTGTGCAGCGGGTTGGAAATGAGTCGAGACTCGAGAACTTGAATCTTCTTGAGGAGTCGAGTAAAAGAATCATCTGTGATTTTCAAATCATCGATGGGATCTAGAACAGGAACACCATCGGGAAATCGTTTCTGTACCTCACTCAGGGCCTTTCTGACTGTGTCCCTGCCAGCTCTCGTTGTCAGATCTCCTGGCATGAATATACGAATGCTCGACATCTTCTGGATCGTGCTAAGCAATACCGGCAAAACCTCGACTTTTGTTCTCTCCCCAGGCTTAGCAGGACGGATGCCTGGCGGGAGAGCCTCAATATTCTTGAGACCATTTGCAGGTTCATCGGAACATACCAAAGCCACCTGGACTATCCATGAATCCTGGGGAGTGAGCTGCTTTGTTGACCCTCGATCCTGCCCTCGCTCCTGGAAATTGCATACTGCTGCCCAGCCAAACCAGAAATCGCCATATTGTACATCAACTAGTCGTCCCGGTTGTAGGTATGGTAATGAGTAATTTGGATGCTGCATGACATCCCGCATATCCTGCGTGTATATGTTGAGCTGCTTACGCAAATCATAATAATCTCGAATGACGCTTTCATCCTCGATCTCCATATTTTGCCTTTCGACTTCTAACTCGTGCAGCTCTTTCTCCAGACCGGATACGCTTGCCGTGTTCTGAAACTGGTGAAAGCATCGCTCGAGCATAAACTCTGGGGAGATACCCTCCACTCGGAGCAGATTCAGAACCATGTTATATCCCAGATAGAAAGCAGAGTTGAGCTTATCTTGTTCACCTCGAACGATCTCCTTTGCAACCCCAGGCTCCATCTGCTCGTTAATCATCATGATGACAATTCCGCGATCATCAAGTCCTCTTCTCCCTGCGCGACCGGACATTTGAATGAATTCTGACGATGAAAGCCATCGTTGACTGACGCCATCAAATTTGCGCACATTGGTGAATACAACAGTCTTAGCAGGCATGTTAAGACCAATCGAGAATGTCTCAGTTGCGAACAATACTTTGATCAGGCCTTCCTGGAACAGTATCTCGATCGCCTCTTTCAAGATGGGGAGAAGTCCAGAGTGGTGTATTCCGATACCTCGCCTCAGCAACGGCAGGATATGTTCGATCTGTGGGAGCTTTTTGTCCTCCTCAGAGAGCATCTCCAAAGCGCTTTTGAAGACCTTTGATACCATTGCTTTCTCAGAATCGTCGTTGAACGTCATCGAGCTCATCTGCAAGGCCAGATTTTCGCACTCCCGTTTGCTGAAGCTGAAAACAATCACAGGGTTATAATTCTTCATCATGATCATTCTCACAATCTTGTAGATGTCAGACGGCCCTTTCTGGCCACCTTTGTTCATTCTCTTATCCCTCCCTTTGCCTTTTCGTTTGGCCATTGCATCAGCAGGATCATCTCCTTCCTTGTCCGCAATAGAGCTCATTGCTTTCTGGAAATTATCTTCTCTGAAGGTACCCTTCTCATCTACTATCAGGTGTATGCCATCAGCTCCTGCGGGGAAGAAGTAATGTTGTAGGGGAGTCGGTCGGAAGTCAGTATAGACAACGTGGCATGGCTGACCATGTGTCTTCGTAATCCATTCCGCAAATTGCATGGCGTTCGGTATAGTGGCAGACAGAAAGACGTACCGCACTTTGTCGGGTAGCAGAATGATCGTCTCTTCCCATACGACTCCTCTGGTTTTGTCCCTCAAGTAATGAATTTCGTCAAACACGACCCATCCCACCTCACGCATGATCTCCGATCCTCGGTATAACATGGATCGTAGAATTTCAGTCGTCATCACTAGACAAGTAGCTGTAGGATTGATCGTCACATCTCCGGTCATTAAGCCAACATCTGAGAACTCTGCCATGAATTCTCGGTACTTCTGATTGCTCAATGCCTTGATCGGACTTGTGTAAATGACCCTCTGATTGTTCTTCAAGCATTGTGCAATTGCATACTCTGCCACCACTGTTTTACCTGCGCTCGTGTGCGCTGAAACCAACACGCTTTCGCCTCTTTCTATAGACGCTATTGACACCTGCTGGAAGGGATCGAGTGTAAAAGGCCATGTTCTTGCCGGGGTCTCAGGTGGCTTGTGTTCGGAAATTGGTACGTAGGGATAATCTGGAGGCAGGGCGACTTGATGTCGGACTTGATGGGACAATACCACTGCTCCAGAGTCTTTGGTGCCTTGCAGACCTGCAGAAGCGGCAACCTCGCGTGACTGCTCCGTCTCAAAGGTATCGGTGACCACGGGCTCAGGTTCGGCGTCCAAACGCTGCCGCTTCGCATTCGATTCCTGGCCATTTGTCTCGCCGTTCTCGCTTCTTGAGGTCGGAGTATTTCGTGATTCATCACCCTTCCCTTGAACGTCACCATTTGGCTGTTCTTTTACCTCACCGTTTGCCTGCCTCTTCTTGCTCTTATCCTTTTTTGACCTCTTCGGAAAATCTGCCGCCGCCTTTGCAGAATGCGGTTGGTCATCAAAGACGTCAAAAAGTTCATCCATAGCGGACGAAATGTTTGATTTTGAGACGTTCAGGCCATTTAGGTGGATATCTTGTTGTGGATTCCTTTGGTCGGTGAAATAAATGTCCTGGAGATCAACTCAGCATCTGCAGAAGATGCTGCGGTACATTCCGCCTACGTAATTTAGTACAAACTTGCGGCTTCCGGGGAACGTAGCTAGCTTGAGTTGCAAGAGCCATCAACGACCTCATTGTTTCGCAGTGTCCATTGAATCCCACCATAACCTACGGCATCTACCTGGCACTTTACAAGGCATGTTTACAGGATTCTTTCTTGTGCTGACTACTGACTGCTCAGATGCTTGCCCAAACCGCAAACCGTGCCAAATTGGCCCCGTCTCAAATCATTCGTCGCGGCTTCTCCTCCACCCAAGTCCAGCGATCCAGCCCATTCCATTATCCCGAAGGTCCACGGACGAATATCCCATTCAATCCCCACACCAGATTCTTCGCTGTTCGATATTGGGGTTTCATGGGTAGTCTCCTCCCTCAAGAGGTTGTATCATGAAATACTGACAGTAAAGCATGAAGCTACCGGATTTGGAATTCCCTTCGCGTTGGCTGGTAAGACGAATATGGCTACCGATGAAAGGGCAGCACTGACCGAAGCATACAGTCTGGCAAACATACAAAAATTGATACCGAGAAAGGGTGGAGGTTGCGAGTGGCGAAGCTACGAGGATAGGCATAAAGAGCGAATTGTACATATGGCGGGATAACTCAGGATGTGCCTGAATTGAAATTTATTATGTTTTTTTCAAGTTTTGTAATCATTTCGTGACCTAGCTGCCTCTCTTGCTGGTGGATGCTGTTAAGACTCCCGTTTCCTTGACATGCTAGCAGATCTCGACTAACATGTCAGTTCAGCTTTCGTGCCTTCCTCGGTCCTCTTAGGTGTGTGCATGAGCTAAATTGACTTTAATACAAAACCTATATTTCTGTTACATACATATTTCGTGACACCAGTCTCTGGGGACCATAGCTGGGGCCTGGTGAACTCGGCCAAGATTGGCGTACATCTGGTTCAAGGCCATAATCTTCGGGGCATTGCAAAAAAATATAAGCTGAGCTCCCAGGGACATCTCCTGCCGATTCAGCTTAAATTCCTGTATTGGTCATATGGTCAGACGCTGCTCGCTTAGTTAGGTTGTTCCATCTCCACCCGCTGAATGTTTACTTCGTTTGATGCAAGTTCTTTTGGGCCGTTGTTCGATGTCGAGTAATCAGCCGGCGCTCGTCTTCTTTTCTTCCTAACGAGGACGCGCCACCCTAAAAGCGCGCAGGCTGCAAGTGCCCCAACGACACCTACACCGATTCCAATCTTCGCTCCTGTTGAGAGCCCATTGTTGCTGCTTGACTCATCAGGTTTGATGCTGGCAGGGGTGGTAGAAGCCGCAGCTCCGCTAGCACTAGCGGGAGTCGCGGCGATTGTGACGGTGGAGAGGGAGGCCATTGAGATTGTGGGGCCGGTGTTAGAGCTCGTTGTATCGACTGTGACCTGGCCGTTAACGATATTGACGAACAGACCCTGGCCCGCGTCGCAGCAGGCTTTGGCAACATTCTCGTCTGGAGCTATTTCGCAATAGCTGCCGTCTTTGCATTGCTCTAGTTCCTTGTCGCCCCAGTTATCTTCGTTGGCTTTTTGGTTATCCCTTGTTAGTTATGCCTCTCAATAACATCTTAGTGGGAAAGAGAGCAGAGGAAAATGCAGAGGATGGGTCCACACAGTATGCGTTGGGTTGCTTCCGGAAATCCGTAAAACTCACTTGTAGAGTTCGTAAACAGTTCCACACAAGCAGGATCCCTCCACGTTGGATCGGTGCAGCTCTCCCTCCAAAAATGAACATACGGGCCCACATTCTTGTTGTAGCACAGACCTGAGCCGTCCTCGAAGCAGTTGTCCGGACTACCTCTTAGTGGCCCGATTGCGCAGCACATACTGGCGGAGGTCCCGTTCTTGCAGGGCGCATAGATAGCGTCATCCTCGTACCCGTTGAAGCCATTGATGTTTGTGCCGTTGGGAGTGAAGCAACCAGCAGAGCAGTGGGCTGGGAGTAGGGAGAGGAAGGGTGAAAGAAGCAGGATAATGTTGCAATACGGTTTTGAGGGGCTGGCAAAACGCTTGAAGGACATTACAGCCGCTACCCTCAAAGCGATCTTTCGATACTGAGAAGCATTGGTAGCGATCTGTTGGCTCAACTCAATTACACTGCACGGGAGATTTCGAGGAAGTATCACAGAGCAGAACAGAACGTATCGGATGACGTTTCTGCAGGAAACAGAGTAATGAGAAAAGGGAAAGGAGTTCAGTTAGTACTCACTAGTTAGTAACTAGGTTATATGGGTGAGTACTACGTAAATCACACCCATCTCAAATTGCTCCATCACACATACATTTTACTAACTTACCAGTGGCCCATAGGATCAAGCTCTGAACCCCGTTCCGTTGGGTTGGGTTAGTAGGTTGGGTTAGATTGGATATCTTGGTTTATTTTACTACGGACTACTAGTACTAGTACTAGTGGGGAGTAGTAAGTAGCCCTCTAAGGTGCCAAGAAAACGTTGTTATTCCCGAAAAAGAAAGATTATCAAGTGAGTTCCAGTGATATTGAACCTCAAATAGGCTTAACGCAAAGATTGCGCTCGAGTAGCTGGTTCTCCTTCGAACAGAGCACCAACTACAAGGGATAGAGATGCACTCATTGGCTATCGGAATCACTGTACTCTCCACCAGGAACCCTATATACTATACCCGGATAGGAAATTTATAATACCTCAAAATCGCGCTAGAGCGTATATTTCGGCTCCTCCAGGCGTTATGATCATTGATATTTACAAGAACCCAAAGAGATTTGAAAACCAAGGGGCTGGGCTTTGGAAGAATAAACCCAACCCCGCTCCGGGCCGGCTTGGTTGGTGCTCAGACTCAACCTATTCCTCAGTCTAGAGAAAAGTATCATGTCTCAAATCTATGATATTTCATGCTAGGTAATGTCTGCTGTAATTAGTGAAGAGCTACTCTATCCTTCTAAATCGTTTTCCGGGTAACATATCTCTCTAAGTCCCGACCAGTTACGCCGTCCAGATATTACCCAGCCACCTTCCGACCTAATCTCCCAGCCATCGTTTTCGCATACGAATAGCCAATCAACGTCTTACCAACGTCATTGCCCAAACTTCCGCCCAATCTCATCCTCACTAAATCGTCTCGTCTTTCTCCTCAGCATCCCTTCCCTCTCCTCCTGACCCATGCTCTTTTGCTCGTCACTAATCGGTACCAAACACCTCGCAAGATGTTCATAGTCCTTGCGCATCAGCCGGTACGTGATCTCCAGGTAGTCAATGTTGCGAAAGACGAGGGCACGGCCGCGGACGTAGGCGTCTTGGCTCTTGATGAAGGAGAGGGGTTGGTCGCGCCAGTGACGGAGGGGATTTATATGGTGGGCGGTGTGGTATCCGTCATTGAAGCAGAAGCGGTTGGACTGGATGAATTAATGTTAGGCTTCGGGGAGTGTTAAAAAAGAAGGGAGAAGGCGATTTTTGATGCAAAGGAGGGGAAAGGTAGCGTGTAAGGAAGGGAATCGGTGAAGCTTACGGGGACATCTATGATCGTGATGCTGGATCGATAATCACTGTCAGGTTCCACCTCGTCCACGAAAGCGTGCTGGCCGAAATTTCCAATCATGAGACCCAGACGTATTAGGCTGAACGGGACTAGGAGCACGAAAGCGCTAGCTTTGGGACTGTACTGTGTGGCCAGGAGCATGAACATATAGCTTGAGAATTCCCAAAACGCGGCGCGAAGCGCGTGGCTATATTTCCCAGTACGGATGAAGTATAGTGGCAAATCGAGCCAAATGAAAAACATAAATCGGCCCACGTAGTATAGCAGGGAACTGATCTCGTCACGTTGCAATCGTAAGGTTGTAGACAAGTCACCGGGTCCATTTCCTTCGACGTGGTGATGCTTAACGTGGTGATAATAGTAGCTGTTCCATGTATGGCCCATGAGCGGATCCAACACGTAGGGAAACAACGTGTCCAACATCCACCAGCTTTTCGACAGGATGCCATTGTTGTGGATGTGATTGTGCCTCATGAGGGTGTATGTGCCAAAATAATAGGCCGACATGACAGCATGGCTTACACCATGTAGCCAAGTGAAGCGATAGAAGAACAGGTAAAGTGCTGATGGCAGCGATGTGGTGAAGTAAAGGGCCAAATGAGTAATAAAGACAACATCTGTAGGCCGTCGAGCAACGTGCGATGCCCACTGAATATAGCTATTGAGCAGGGTCCGTAGAATTGCTGGACGAACAGGCAAATCTTTCAGGTCCCAGGTACAAAATACGGTCGGTTCGAAATCTTGACTGTTTTCATCATTCATGCCTTTGAGCTTCTCCAGAAGCTCTTCCTCAGCACCTCTATGGTCGGCATGCTTCCTTTGATTGTGCTTCTTAGACGATGGGTCGGAACTGGCGGCATTGTGGAGTAGGTACTCCAAGACCAGCTGGTCAGCCTGGGTGAGATTTGGATCAATTGAGATTGGGTCAGCAGTTATGCCGTCCTTTGACTTGGGCTCTTGGGATCGAAAGTGTCTTGACGAAGGAACCGAGGATTCATCTTTAGAGATACTATTCTGAGTAATTAAAGTAGAACATAGAGAAGCGCGGCCAGCCATGACAAGAGTTGAAGAAGTTGAAAAGGAATGCCAGAGCGTCAAATACTACATAGAGAGAGGGTGGCGGACTGCTGACTACTATTGCAGTGGGCAAACGAGATACTACATGTACATGGGGTGGAAAGGGGCGATGTGTGGCCTTGGTGCCTGCGGAGCTACTACGTAAGTAGCCTAGTGGTGCGGATGCTTGCAGCAAAAGCAAAATTACTAGACTAAGTCGCGGGGACACTACTCCAAATAAGGAAGGGCATCCATCCAGGGACACAGGGGCTATGTACGTAGTATACTCAGGACTTTTGCTGTACTCTTCTGTACAAAACCACCAATAGATGCGTCTGAGCTGATACTGTTCCGCAGCGGCAGGGAATCTGGCGCTGTGATTCGAGCTCTGGCAACTTTTCGCCCCACCAGAAATGGCTGCTACTAGCTATGGATACTTCTACCTGGTACTGTAATAGTCCTAGGGCCTCCGGGCCGGGCTTCGGCAACCCGGCTCCTGGTTGTGGTGGAGACGGTTTTATTGGAGCATTTTCCTGGCTATGCTGATCGGGTCGTTCGTTCATTGGATCTCCCGAACTTCATTTCTGTGTACGAAGAAATCTTTGCATGGGCGATGGGCTCGCAAAAATCTGTGGGCGACGTTAATGTTATGAAAGTGTTAAAATACAGGGTGGAGATCCTCCAGGGCATGGCTGCGTTCAAGGGGGATCATTGATCTCGTCTCCCCATCGATTTCATAACAAGCATTCGAAGTAAGTGCTTATCCACAAGGATAATTGGGGAATGCAATGCAAGTGAAGGGTCAGTTTGATCCCCAAATGTGGCTGTAAAGCCGACTGCCAGCAAAGCCCAGGCTACCTGCAGAGAAAGGACGCGTCAAAGACTCCCCCAAAAAGAAGGCGCTGGATCTTCCTTAGATAAGACATGTTTGATTGGATATAAAGACCATGGTGGTGACACTTGATGTCGAACGTGGATTCGATCTGGTCTGGCAGTGAGACACGATTGGCCCCTTTCGAAAGTCTTCCAATGCCTAAGGCACCTTCAAGCCACCTCTGAAAAATATGAAAGCGGTACCAGTCTGCAGACAGGACAAATCTCATCTTATTAACGCGGCGTCTTATCTCCGAAACAAGTACTGACACATGACCGTGTTAAGTATCAGCCCGTCTGGATATCTATAGCCATGGTTCGACTACCACCTGCCACTTCCTACTCGACTTCTTTTTTAGTCACTCAGATGCTATTGTCTCTATGGCTATCCACAAAATATCTATGTCCCATAACAACATCATCATGTCCAAGGCATCCGAGGATGTGAATACTTATGCCATGTCAGCCTCTACCCGTATTGGAGAGATCCTGACTCAAGATACGCTGCAAAGGCTATACAGGCTTTTCGGTCCACTGTTTGATTAGGCTCATAGTTACGGCTTTGCTATCCTCTGTGGTCAATTAACAGGGGCTACAGCCCAATCTGATGAGTTACTTGGAATGCCTCAGCTCCTGGACGCCGCACCGTACATCGAGGAGAGCATCGGGAACTTGACTGGCGTCTTCTCATTGGTCAGTTACAGCGCTCGTGGTATGCTCATCCGGGCGGGGAGGACGAACGAAGAGTGTCTTGGAAACCTTAGCTGGGTCCTGGATAATTTGAATCCACTCAGCGCTGCCGAATATAATGGAGCTGCAAGTGGTCTGACTCTGCTGCCCACTGCCGGGGCGTTGATCGGCGCTCCTGCCAAGGAGCTGTGGATTGTCTACAAGCTAATGCCTGTTGCCGGCGTCCTCACGATGTGCCTATCGCTAGGTGGCACGATCATGCCATCTCAGGCTGGGCAGTATGATCCAAAAGGGGCATTTGATTTTGGTGGGATTCTAGTTTCTGACAGGAAAGCGAGAAAAGAGTATGCGAAATTGGATGAAGAGACAAAGCATAATGGACAGGCACAACTGTTCGCTGAAAAAGTCAGGGAGCGCGCTGACGACCAGAGAGGTGCAAATTATGGCAAGATTTGGCTCGCTGTTGTGATGCTGCTCGCCTTCAATGTCCAGATCGTGGTGATTCTGTGGTATGCTGAACGAGGAGCAGTCATTCCATGGTGGTGCAGTGTAAGCCATGATTCTCAGTAATCACACTGTTGGGTCGGAATTGCTAACAAGTGCCTTCAGTTCTATGGATGGATGCTTATCTGGTACTTCCTCCTCACGGTTTCTTGTTTGATCGACAACACCGCCTCAAACCCGTTCTATCAGACCTGGACCATACGTGTCTCTAGAGCACCTGAGATCATGGAGATCAGCGACAGATGTCCATTGCTAGTCACCGATTCAATCGAAGACGACGGCGCCATCATCCAAAACCTTCGTAAAGGTTATAACGTGGACAGTCGCGTCGTCATCCCCCATTCCCGCTCCTACGCCAAATCCAGAGTGTGCTTCTACGTCGTCGTGCCTCAAACAGGAACCAGCCGCTGGCGAGCCGCCCTTCGCATCTTCAGCCGCGGCTCCAACATCGCCAGCTTCGCTTTCGGCACCACTCTCTTTGCGAGTTCTCAACTCCTGTCCGTGAGCTTGGCCCTTATCACCATCATCTGTACCATGGTGCCTGCCGTCCTGGGCCGCGTGTTGTCCATGTGGATCGCGCTCGAGATGAACAAGCACAACAAGGCGATCCTGCATGCCGTCGTCCCCACGCACCTCGAAGCTTCAAAATATCTCAACGCCATCCTGAAGCAGAAGGGCTTGGTCTTCGAGACGCAGGGCCACATCGTGGTTGACGGTCGTGTCATTTGTCGCTATAACCAGTGGTTTTCCTGGAGCAGGTATGTGGGGTTGCTTGCTCCCCCTTTCAATATCATCAAGAAAGCTACGTCTGGATATATGACGGCAGTCACCGCCATGCCAGCTGATGGTGAGCCGCTGAGCGGGCCACCAGGCTCATCTATGAAGAAAAGCGCCACCGTACGCACGACTTCTGCTGAAACATTGATAAATGGCCAAACTGGATTGGAGCCCTCCGTTTAACACATTGCGCCTGGTGGTTGGAGTTAATTTACTGGTATGCATTAGCGACTGTCCCTTTGTTTTATGTGGACCTGGCTGTTGGATTCTCGGATGTCTGTACTTTTATTCAGAGATAGTTAATCTGGTCTTTTGGAGGTGCTATACGGAGATACACTTAAGTCAGAAATTGGTGATGGTCATCGGTAAGAAGGAGCATAATCAAATGTGCGCTGGCTATGGTTTTAGTAAGATACTCCAATGTCTTCATGCCAAATACAGATGCATATTATCCGCTGAAGCGCAAGAGCCAATGCGCCGGAATTCGCTATCATCAGAGAAAATATGCAATGAAGTACATCCGTGGTTCCCTTCTTCTCATTGCTATACTGTTGGTGTTTCGAGGCTGGAACAGGTTCAATACGCGAGCTCCATTGTCCAAGATCCAAATCCAGCCATTAGGTAGGAGTTCCCATTTTGGTTTAACTGGATTATTAACTGTAGTTTAACTAACTAGCCCATTTTCTGGGTTGTGTCTGGTGGATCGGCTACTGCCGGCAACTGGCTGACTAGTGCAGCCACATCATCTAGTTACCGACTGGAAATTTCTATTTGGCTTCCAGATGTTTCATATGTGCTTGGTATTTCTGGCAGCACTGCGCTCAACTGGTCTAGGAGTATCAACGACACTTGTGCATCGAACAATCTTTGACTGTTGTACGAGTGGCTCAAACAACAAGACGGTCAGGCACACTCCACATAAAGTTTGCATGGATTATCTTTCAGCATGCGCAACCTGAAAAACATATTTCTCGAGGAGATTTTGATTCCCGGAAATCTTCACTCGTCTGCTACTGCTTGGGACGCTACTGATGATTCTGTCATTTGCGCCTTTGGGCCCACAGATTTGTCTCCAACAATTAACTTGAAGCGCAAGAAGTATAACGCCTCTACTGCCAAGTCCGAGTTTGTGCCAATTGCATCGTGGGATGCGCCATGTCCCTTACCAGACTTGTCTAGCGACGAGATCATCTGTCTCCAGTACTTCTCAGATACTGCTATCTCATGTATCATTCTTGCTGGGGGCGATCTGGTGGTCGTCCGAGAGAACCCTCAGGATGGTGAGGAAAAGTTGGAGATAGTGGGCTCCGTCGACGCTGGAATTGCTGCGGCAGCGTGGGCTCCTGACGAAGAGCTCCTAGCGATAGTCACACGCGCGGATACCCTCATTCTGATGACCAGAGATTTTGAGCCTGTGACTGATGTGGCGCTGACGGCCGACGACCTGAAAACTTCAAAACATGTCTCAGTAGGCTGGGGCAAGAAAGAGACCCAGTTCCAGGGCAAGAGAGCCAAAGCCTTACGAGATCCGACAGTGCCAGAAATTGTGGACGAAGGCAAGTTGAGCGTATTCGATAATGGCAGAACATCTATCAGTTGGAGAGGTGATGGTGCTTTTCTGGCAGTGAACAGAGCGGTTCTGAATAGCAGACGAGTCATCAGGATTTTCACTCGCGAAGGGACCATAGATACCGCAAGTGAGCCGGTCGATGGCCTGGAATGTGCACTGAGCTGGCGACCGGTTGGAAATCTGCTTGCAGGAGTGCAGCGATTTGCAGATCGATTAGATGTCGTCTTCTTCGAACGAAATGGCCTACGTCATGGTGAGTTCTCGTTAAGATTATCCAAAGATGAGGCGGATACCTGGGCTTCCGAGGTATCTCTGTCGTGGAATGTTGACTCGACTGTGCTTGCTGTATCTTTTCGTGACCGTGTGCAGTTGTGGACGATGGGCAATTATCACTATTATCTGAAACAGGAGATTTTGTTCGCCAGTGAGGCGCTCACGTCACCAAGACCCGTTGCGTGGCATCTCGAGAAGCCGTTACGAATGTGTGTGGCTTCCAGAGGTAGGACTGCCTGGATCCAGAAAATCACAAGTCAGGTGTGTTAATTGTCACTCAGAGACAATACTTGACACGGAATATCTGTTTTGTGTTGTTAGAGGCTCAACTACAAGACCACACGACAATGGTATAGTTGCAGTTATAGATGGCAGTGAGTCTTATATAAATGATGTTCTTCCAGTACTCTTCTAATCAGGAACAGGATCTCTAAAACTAACACCACTGAAGCGAGCCATGGTTCCCCCACCAATGTCGTTTGCAGAGATTACAACAACCAGGAACATCATCGATTGTTCTATAAGTTTGACAGGCAGTCGCGTTGCCATCCTAACAACCTGGGGTATCGAGGTATACAAATGGGACCTCTCGCCGAAACCTGCTGCTGTGCTATGTAAGATAGCTAGTTGGTGTTCCGAGTCAGCAGCAGAGACCTGGTCCAATGCTCGCTTGAAAGAAATCCTGGTACAAAAAGAGGAAGTTGTCAGCCTGCTATCGTACTTTATAGATGGCGGGCCCACAATAACCAACTATGCTATTCAAGAGTCCAACGAATCTTTGGTAGATATTGGTAATGGGCTCGATCCACATCACAGCAATAAGGATAGTCTCGTCAACAGGATTTTCACAGATGCCAACCACGACTTCATGTGGGCTCAGACCGCAACTGGTCTAGATTGCTTGAACCAGTGGGACCTCTCTTCGTCTGCTGTACACCCCCTTACAGAGATAGTGGTCCTCGAAGGGCGTGGCGAACATCCAAATGCACTCGATGATTATTCTCTGAGGGATAATAACGGAACTTACAGACATACTCACACATTTTCTCTCTCCAGAAAAGGGGAGCTCTTTGCAAATGACAAGCTTCTTACACGGGGCTGCACTTCTTTTGTGTCTACAAATGCACATCTAATCTTCACAACTTCTCTGCATCTACTAAAGTTTGTTCATTTAGATTCATCTGATGGTGCGTTCATATATCATCCCTATCCACAAATGCTGATAGAAGTCCAGAGTATGAAGTGCCTGGCGACACTCCAGAAGCTGACGAACGATGTCGGAGCATCGAACGTGGTGCCAGATTGGTCACTGCCATCCCTTCAATCTATGCTGTGGTCTTGCAGATGCCGCGAGGAAATCTGGAGACAGTCTATCCTCGAGCACTTGTTCTAGCAGGGATCCGACAGCACCTCGATGACAAGGACTTCAAATCCGCTTTTCTTGCTTGTCAAAACCATCAAGTCGATATGAACATCATCTACGATTATCGTCCCGAACTCTTCATGAGCAGCATCTCTTTATTCATTCAGCAGGTTAGGAAAGTCAGCAGAATCGACCTGTTCCTGTCAAAATTGTCCGAAGATGACGTTTCGCTCACACTATACAAGGACACCTTGGCCAAGAGAGAAGCATCAGAGCAACGAGGAGACACCTCAACGCACCGGAAATATGGGGTAACGAATGGAGTAGGTAGAAATGAAATACAAGATGGCAAAGTCAATCGTATATGCGAGGCTTTCCTGTCTTGCCTCAGGCCTAAAATTTCCGGGCACCTCCAGAATATCATCACCGCACATGTTTGCAAGCGTCCTCCCGACCTTGTCACCGCCTTGGAGCTCGTCACATCTCTCAGGAAAAGTGAGCCGGACAAAGCAGAAGAAGCAGTTTCTCATCTCTGCTTTCTTAGCGACGTCAACCGCCTTTACGACACAGCCTTGGCTCTCTATGACCTTCCACTCACCCTGCTTGTAGCACAACAAGCTCAACGCGACCCAGGAGAATACATGCCCTTCCTCCAGTCTCTCAACGCCCTTCCTCCACTTCGCCGCAATTTCCGAATAGACGACCATCTCCGCAACCACGCCAAAGCTCTTACCTCCCTTCACGCTCTAGCCGCACACGAAGAAGTAGAAAGCTACACCATCAAGCACGCCCTCTATTCACAAGCCCTGAAACTCTACCGCTACGACTCTGATCACCTAACAACCATAACCCGCTTATACGCCTCCTATCTAACCTCGCAATCCAACCACCTCGCCTCAGCTATTGCCTCCGAATCCCTCTCTGATTACGCCCTCGCCTCAACCAGCTACACCAAGTGCTCTCCTCCCCGTTGGCGCGAAGCCCTCCACTGCCTCAGCATGACCCAACCGCCCCCTTCACCCCAACAAATCACAACGCTCGCCTCGGAACTTTCCACAGCCTTGACAGACCAACAACGCGACTACCGCTCCGCCTCCCAAATCCAGACCGACTACCTCCACGACATCCCCACCGCGGCGCGCCTCTTATGCCGAGGCTCGTACTTCGCTGAAGCGCTACGCCTCCTCTCCCTCCACAACCTCACCCCCCAAATCCCAGACGTCATCGACACGGCTCTGGCCGAGAAATCAGGCGAGATCACCGAGCTTATCGCAGACTGTCGCTCGCAGCTCGCCGCCCAGGTCCCGCGGATCAAGGAGCTACGAGTCAAGAAGGCAGAGGACCCGCTTGGGTTTTTCGGCGGCGATGCTGCCGCCGGGGAGGGAGCAGGCGAAGACGTGGCGGACAACATCTCGCTCGCCCCGACCGACGCAAGCACGATGGGCGGTCAATCCCTCTTCACGCGCTACACGGGCAACCAGACCACGAGGTTCGGCGGCACGGTCGCCGCCAGCAACGCGTCGAATGTCTCGAGGAAGACGTCGCGCACGAGGAGGCGGGAGGAGAGGAAACGCGCCAGGGGCAAGAAAGGCTCGGTTTACGAAGAGGAGTATCTGGTGGGCAGTGTGAGGCGGTTGATTGAGCGGGTCAACGGCGTGCATGCTGAGGTGGCACGGTTGGTGGAGGGGTTGGCGCGGAGGGGGTTGGTTATAGGCATGAGCGAGCGGGTCGAGGTTGTGGAGAATGGGATGAGGGGCATGGTGGAGGAGTGTGAGAGGGCTCGAGGCGAGGTTTGGGGGGTCAGGAATGGAAAGGGGGAAGGTGGCGAAGGAGTTGGTGGTGGTGAGCAGCGGGACGAGGAGGGAGGAGATGAGATCGGCGAGAGTAGGAGTAGCAGGCCAAGAGGCGCGGATGGCGTCTACTGGGATAGCCAGATGGAGATGCAAGCCGGCAAAGGCGCGCCCGAGGTCAAGATCTGGAAGGCACTTTTTTGATTGAGGGCATGCGAAAAAATAGTACACTGCATGGTGCGCTGAAGCTTCAATCAATCGCAGCGTCTCGGCTCCAACCAAGCATGTATCCATCCCATCCCATCCCTGGAAAGGGATGTCAGTGCCACCCACCTTCACCTGGCTGCTCCATGCATATTTCGCAGCGAAAATTTTAACCACGATGGAGTTCGGGACAGAACCCCCTTCCTTCCGCTTCTGGGCATAGACAGAGAGACAGACCGACCCAATCAGGCAATGCAGCTGAGGTACGTCACGGCCTTGAAAGCGAAAAGAAAGCTAGTGCATGCTAACGTTAAGCCGAGT